CACCTTTGTTCCCCCAGGGCCCATCGCCTTTCCTGGTGCATCCAGATGGCAAGAACCGAGTGTCCCAATCAGGAAATCGGCACAGGGTCCTGGCTGGATGTGTCTACCCGAAGTTAAGAGAACCAGTTTCCAAGCTGTCTGTCCACGTAGAAAAGAGACACCAGCAGCCTCCTGGGCCAGCCCCTAAGTCCCGAGTCAGCAGTTAGGCAGCCTGCAACCCCTCGGCTTGAAGAAATGGCCTGTGCTCTTTTTTTTTTTTTTTTTGTCTTTCGCCTCCACGGCCAGTGGCTCTCTCCCCACCCCCTGCCCCAAATTTGCAGACACCTACATTCCTGGCTCCCGTCTTCCTCCTACAAGCCTCCTCCTTGCCTTTGCCTGCCCTGCTCAAACACACCCTAAGAAAACTTTGAGCTTTTGGAGCCCTTTTCACTTGTGCCAAGAGTCGTAAATCTTGCCACGCAGAGCGGAGTCGTAGTAGAGAAACAAGCAGGTTTGCCCTGAGTAGTCATCTTCATCATCATCATCATCTTCTTCTTCCATTCTGTCTGCCAGTGCATTTAAAAGGAAGCTCTTCTGGAGTTCTTCTCAGGAGTACGAATGTCCTTCTCACCTCCTAGCCCCTTCTGCCTGTTCCGAGCTGAGAATCTTAACAGAAATTACTCAGTGAAGTTCTCAGAGCCCTTCTCCTGACCGGCTGTCTGGAGCTCAAGCTAAACCACAGGGTCTTTCCTTTTGTCAGCCTCCCATCAACCCTACTCCCCCTGCAAGATGTTCTGGGTTTTTTAATCATCACTCACCGCTAGTTGTCTGTTCTAAAAAAAAAAAAAAAAGAAAGAAAGAAAGAAAGAAAAAAAAAACCACCCAAGGGGGGGGGTGGGGTTGTGAAAAAAAGTCTGGCCTTGCCCCCTCCCCCATTAGAGACTGGGCATGGAGATTTAGGGAGTTGGGGTGGAGAGGATGTAGAGGAGAGAAGGATGAGGGACTGAGAGATTCAGCAAGAGGGCCTGAGAGTAAGCCAGCAGACTCCTTAAAAAAAAAAAAAAATAAAGTCCCTGTGTGCCTACCATGAATGAGCACAGGAGGGGCACCCAGCGCCCCTGGCCCAGCCAGGCCAGCCTCTGACTAGGTCTCCAGAGGCCACTTCTCGGATTAGCATAATGGTCCAGTAGTGAGGCCTGAGTGGGGCGGGTGTGTGTGTGTGGGGGGGGCAATCTGTGGACTCCAGCTTTCTCTGCGTTTTGTTCTCTTCCTCTCCCATCTCAGTGCAAAAATTTTTTACCTGTTTTTAAAACAAAACAAGACAAGACCACCCTCTACTTTCTTTGCTTCGCACTCTTATTTGGGGGAGGGGTACCCGCCCCCCCCCCCCCCCCCAGCGCTCATCACCACAATCACCTTCTTTCCTTATCAGGCATCTATGCTTGCTAAAGGGGGAGAGGTGGGGGGGGGTGAGCTTGTGTGTGTGTGTGTGTGTGTCTGTGTGTGTGTGTCTGTGTGTGTGTGTGTCTGTGTGGTTTTTTTCCCTGTGCAAAAGCAGAGGCCATTGTTACGGAGAGTAGGGCGTACCAGTCTTATAGGGCAACTACACTGTGGCGGCTTGGCCGAGCTGAAGCCCGGAGCTGGATTCTCGGCGAGCCGAGCCTCCCAGCACCTTTTGGTCTGCTATTTTTTCCCCGGCTCCCCTACCCCTCCCTCCTGCGCACCCCCGCTCCAAAGCCGAGTGAATTGAAGCGGACGCCGCGCGGCTCCTCTGGCCGGTCTGCCCCTCGGGCTCCCCAGCCGGGGTGGCTTTGGGGAGGGGGGGCGACGCAGCTTTAAACAGTGGTCTTTTTTTCCTTTGCCTTCAAGGAGGGGAGATTTCTCGCCTGCCGCTCGCGCTGAGGCTCGATGTGAATATATATTATGTCTGCCTGTTCTCCCCTCGTCGGTGGCTAAGGTAAGCCGGACTGAAATAGGCTATCAGTTTGTGAATGGCGGAGAGTATGTCTCAATGATTTATGGCCCATATGACTCCAATCTCGGTTCAAGAAGAGTTCACAAGCTTTAAGCTTCCTTCCACGCAGCGACTGACTCTCTCTCTCTCTCTCTCTCTCTCTCTCTCTCTCTCTCTCTCTCTCTCTCTCTCTCCTCTCTCCCCCTCCCTCCCTCCCTCTCTCCCTCCCTTTCTCTCTCTCTCTCTCTCTCTCTCTCTCTCTCTCTCTCTCTCTCTTCCCCCTTCTTTCCTTTTCCGCTCTCTTCTTTTCCAGTAGCCAAGTCTAGGGCTGAATCCCCTCTCCCCCGTTTGCTAAGAAGAGCCAAACCTTTTTCTTTCCCTTTCTTATTCTTTTATTTTTCTTCCTTTCATTATTTTTTTTTTAAGTCCTGGAAGGTGGCCTATCTTCTCTCTTGGGGTTTCTCCGGCTATTGTTACCCTTCCTGGCTCTCCCAGGAGTGTGCCTGGAAAGGTGGGGTTCTGGAGGGGGGCTTGCCTCCCTTCTCTGGCGAGACCCTGAGGGGAAGCCGGGAACCACTGTCTCCCTCCCACCCTTCCGAAGAGCCATATGGAGCCTGAATTTTTCCAACATGGAGGCAAGGGAAATAGACATGTTTGGCTGGGTAGAGCCGTTCCCCACCCCCTCTTCTGGATCCCAGCTCTCAGATCCCCGCGGCACCGTCCCTTCCCTTACTGTCCCGTTAGGCAGGCCTCTGCGCCTTCCAGCCTGGAACCTTGTTGGGCAAAGTCCCCGAGCAGAGTTGCTAAGGCGCCTTTTAATTCGGTTACCTCCAGCGCCAAACTTGCCGCCGCGGGGCTCGGCCCGGGCCCGGCCCGGTGTGCTTGGAACCTGCCGCAGCTAACCAGTTCGGCGTCCCGATCGGTTTCTCCTCGCTTCCTTGAGCCTGAGCAGGAGGCTGGTAGCTTCTCTCCAGCCACCGAGGCAGCAGCGGCCAGACAGCCGGCCAGCAGCCGCAGCTGGAGGCTCTCCGATCCACAAACCTTCCTGGCCCTGTCTCTGTCTCACCGCCAGCGGAGTCTCCATTCTTTCCTATCACGTCTCTGGCTCCTTCGCTTCCCACACTCGCCTGGCCTCTGTCCTGCGATGGTTTGGGGCTTATTGCTGGGGGAGCGACAGAAATTTCAGCCCCAGGCGTCTAGTCAAATTACTAGGTTTTTATTTATTACTATTATTATTACCACCACCATCATCATTATTGCTGTAACAATCATTTAGACTAAATAAAGCCAGGGCCCAGCCAGCTAACCCCCTCCAACGTCTTTATTTCATTCTCTTTTCTATCTATTAATAACAAACTCAACTGATGCCGGTTAATTAATTCTCCCTTTCAGCCAGGGCTGCTCCGAAGCTAATTTTGGTTAAATCATCAGAGGCTAATGGTAATAATAATAAAAGGATTGGGTCAGCCTGGTCAATTGAACTCCAGTACTCCCTGGAAGGAAGGACCTGCTGCTTAGCAGACCCATGTGTATTAACAGAAACAAAAATTTCTCGGAATCCAATCGGCACTCAGAGCTACATCAGCTCCCATTTAAGTATAAATCTTGCCATTAGGAGCAGCGTTTGTGTGAGAGGGACACACTCCACCGGCATCCCTTTCATTTTATTTTTACTAAGTTAAGTTTTCTTTGGAGTTGACCAGCTGGGCTGAAATGATATTTTAAGTTCTTCCAAAAGCACATGACACAGAAAGGATCAGTCTGGAGGTTTTAGGGCTGTACCCACCCACGGAGGGCTGGAGAAGACACAGGAGCGATACAGTCAGAAATCTGGGAAGGAATACAAAATCCCCTGACACGGTCAAGCTTTATTTTTCTGGTGCACTTTTGAAAGGCTGTATTAAAATAGTGAGCATCATCTTATTTATTTATTTATTTATTCATTTATTTTTGCTGTTGGGAACAGCCCCCCTTCCAAACCCAGAGAAGAATATGCTCAAATTGTTTTATGAGTCTTTTTCGTCCTGAATAATTTTCCCCCACCTCAGCAGAAAAATTCCAGCAGTTGTGCCATCTTCTCTTTTTCTTTTTACTTTTTTCCTGAGAAAGAAAAGAACACAGTCTATTATGGAAAGGATGAGGGAGCCTCAAGCCAAATGGTCGTAGCACCAACCGGTCCTGCCTGGGAAATCAAAACAATCACGCTCCATTTGGAGGCTCCACAGGGGTGCTGGCTGCTAGGTCCAGGCTTGCCCGAGCCAAGACTGGAGGTGATGGTACCTGCAGATGGGACATAGATGGATGAAGCTTGGTTCCACTGGCTCTGGGGGTTAAAAATCTTCAGGAGTTTTCTACCTTAGGCTGTTATGATCTTCCTGGAGGGAAGGGTCCCCGATGAACTTGCTTTTCAGTCTGGCTTGGGTCCAAGATCTGCAAGTTCCTTCCAGGCTAGACTTTGCTTAGGTGGAAGGTTCTGGAGAGAGGAGAGAGAGGAGGCAGAGGCCTCTACACTGGGACGAGGGCCTCCAAGATGCTCTTATTTTGGAGTCTAATAGTGCCCCCTCCCTGGAATTGCCCTTTCCCAGAGTTGGGGGGGAGGTAAGTAGAAATTATAGGAAAGGTCAGGGGCTGGTGTACGAGAAGGAGGGAAGGAAGCCATGGTCCACGAAGCAATGGTATCCTATTTCCAAGCATTCCCCAAAGGAGTACAATCCTTTAAAAAAAAATCGAAATGAAAATCGGGTGTTTTGTTTTATTTTGTTTTTCCTTTAAAATTAAAGTTGAAGCAAGAAGCATCCATGTCAGGTCAGATGCTTGGTCCCAGCGTCTGCTGCAGAAAGCCTGGCGAGGAGAGAAGAAAAAAATCCCTATTGATGTCAGTTCCCTTTTTAGTTCCTAAGATGGATTCGAGGCCCAGTCCTCTTCTCCCCGTGTGTCTCTTCTCTCGCCCCGCAGGTCAGCCGCTTGGAACAGACCCGGGAGGAGGGGGGCAGAAAGGGGAGGGGGGTCCGGCGTGTCACGTGACCCCCAGGGGTGCCAATGTCCGGTCGTGAGGGTATCAGGCCCTTGCAAGTTGCCACCCACTGCCCGGGCCTCGCCCAGCGATGCAGAAAGCCACCTACTACGACAACACCGCAGCTGCGCTCTTCGGAGGCTACTCCTCGTATCCTGGCAGCAATGGTTTCGGCTACGACGGGCCTCCCCAGCCCCCCTTTCAGGCCGCTACGCACCTGGAGGGTGACTACCAGCGCTCAGCGTGTTCCCTGCAGTCCCTGGGCAATGCCGCCCCACATGCCAAGAGCAAGGAGCTCAACGGCAGCTGCATGAGGCCTGGCCTGGCCCCAGAGCCCCTGCCCGCCCCGCCGGGCTCACCCCCACCCAGCGCCGCACCTACCAGTACCACTAGCAACAGCAATAACGGGAGCGGGCCCAGCAAAAGCGGCCCCCCCAAGTGCGGTCCCGGCTCCAACTCTACCCTCACCAAACAGATATTCCCCTGGATGAAAGAGTCGAGGCAAACGTCCAAGCTGAAAAACAGCTCCCCCGGCACAGGTACCAGCTCTCTGCCTTCACCGTCAGCTTTTGTCCAGTCCAGGAATGTCACTGTTATTCTAGCATTCGACCCCTAGGCGCCCACAAGGCGCCTGGGAACAATATTAGGTGGCTGCCGCTTCTCCCTCCCCCCCCCCCGCCCCCCGCGCCCCATACCTCTTACCACCTGATGACCTCTGACCCTGCCAACACCCAGTCCCTCCAGCCATCCTCCGCCTGGGTTTCCAAGAATTTCCAGGAGGTGGGACGGTTGGCCTCAGAGCCCTTCCCAAGGCCGCATCGCCTGGAGGGCACAGAGTCATCGAGGATAGATTATTATTAAGTATGATTATTGTGGGTATTAATCACCATCGCTCAGGAGGCCTGGGGTCCTGGCCTTCAGCCACCGCAGTCTCTAGTGACACACTTCCAGGCCCTGCCCACCCGTGTCCAGTTCCCCCAAGGTGTTCTCAGTCACCCATCCTGTAAAAAGGACGGACAGAATGAGAAGATCATCTCAGACTTGGGTTTGGATATATGGGGAGGGGTGCGCGCACACGCAAAAATCTAACCCTAAATAAATGGCCACGCAGCTCTGTCTGTGTGACATGATCAAATTTTCATAAGCTGGGGCAGTGAGAGGAGAACAGGTCTCTTAATAAATGCCACTATTATAGAGTGTCCGCTAATGCGACGGGAGGTGGGAGGGGGGGTGTTGGGGAGGAGGCGGGGACGCGAAGGGGAGGGTGGCGGGGGCTCCGGAGTCCAGACCTGGATTTATTAAGAAACGATGCATTCAATTTCGGCGTGTTCAGTAATTATCTTTTATTTCATTTTCTCCCCTTCCCACTCCTCCCCCTCGGGTCCAGCAGAAGGTTGTGGTGGCGGCGGCGGCGGCGGCGGCGGCGGCGGCGGCGGCAGCGGCGGCGGTAGCAGCGGCGGGGGCGGCGGCGGCGGCGGGGGAGGGGACAAGAGCCCCCCGGGGTCGGCGGCGTCCAAGCGGGCACGGACGGCGTACACAAGCGCGCAGCTGGTGGAGCTGGAGAAAGAGTTCCACTTCAACCGCTACTTGTGCCGGCCGCGCCGCGTGGAGATGGCCAATCTGCTGAACCTCAGCGAGCGCCAGATCAAGATCTGGTTCCAGAACCGCCGCATGAAATACAAGAAAGACCAGAAGGCCAAAGGGCTGGCCTCGTCGTCTGGGGGTCCCTCTCCGGCCGGCAGCCCCCCACAGCCCATGCAGTCCACCGCCGGCTTCATGAACGCCTTACACTCCATGACTCCCAGCTATGACAGCCCGTCCCCGCCAGCCTTCGGCAAAGGCCACCAGAATGCCTACGCGCTGCCCTCCAACTACCAGCCCCCTCTCAAGGGTTGCGGCGCCCCGCAGAAGTACCCCCCGACCCCGGCGCCCGAGTACGAGCCCCACGTCCTCCAAGCCAACGGGGGCGCCTACGGGACGCCCACCATGCAGGGCAGCCCCGTGTACGTGGGCGGGGGTGGCTATGCGGATCCGCTGCCGCCCCCTGCCGGCCCCTCCCTCTACGGCCTCAATCACCTTTCCCATCACCCCTCGGGGAACCTGGACTACAACGGGGCGCCCCCTATGGCCCCCAGCCAGCATCACGGACCCTGTGATCCTCACCCCACCTACACAGACCTCTCTCACCACGCACCACCTCAGGGTAGAATCCAAGAAGCGCCCAAATTGACACACCTGTGATGTGAGGGGCGGATGGGGGGTGGGGTGGGGGAGATCAAGGGCCAGGGAGGTGGTGGAGCTGGTGGGGGGGGGGCAGTCTGGAGGCCTGGAAGAGGTGCGTGTTGGGGTGGTTGCAGGCTTCCAGAAACAAGACAGGCCTGGGGCGCCTTCCCCTCTCCCTAGCCTGAGTCCTCCACGCCTGGTTCCATCTGCCCGCCCACACCCTTGGAAAGGAACCCACAGCAGGTTGGAGGCCACCACATCAATCCCAGGGCTCCAGCACTACCAAGTTGGGATTTCAGATTGGAGAGGGAGTCGGGTAGACGGAACCAAAATAGGCAAGCAGGGCAGAGAAGCACATTCAAAACTTATGGCTTGGCTTTCATTAACCAACCAACCAACCAACCAAGCAACCAAGCAACCAAGCAACCAACCAACCAACTCTGTGGGCAATTCCCCCAAATCTTGATTTTTTTTCCCCTGGTCCTCCCTTTCATTCTCCTTATGAAAAATAAGAAAACACATTTAAATCTAAGGGCACAAAGTGTTTCCCTTCCACACCCCTAAAGCCTCAATTTGCCCCCCAACTGTTCGGGGCTTCCTGCCATGCCCACCATTTCTAGCCCCATGATTTTCTGATCTAAGGCTGTATCTATACCCCACCCCTATTGTTGACAAGTTTCAGAGGGCTCAGGGATGGTGGGAGACCCTGAAGGTTAGAGCTGCCTATAATATAAATAGATATATTTTTTTCTTTTAGGGAAAAGTTAAGAGGCTAAGGCAGGCAAAGGTGTCAGGACTGGGAGGTTTGCCTGCTCTGCAGCCTCTCAGCTCCCACCCCATCCCACTCTCTCCTCCACGGAAAGCAACCCGCACGGAGCTCTCCACTTTCCTTTTTTCTTCTGTTACTCTCTTGACTTAATGTGAAAACAGGGTATATTTGAACAAACTGTCTGTCCTCGGCAGGGGCTGCAGCTGGGCCCGTGAACCTTGCTCCAGCCCCTGACAGGACGCTCTTGTTGCACTTGGAGTTTACATTTTAATGGATATTAAAAAAAAAAAATAACCAACTGTGAGAGATGCCTGGGCCTGCAAAAGTCCAGCTTCGCTCAAAAAGCGTGTGTTCTAGTGAACATTTTCATATATATTTATTGGTTATAGCCTGTTAAAATATTTTCTTTTTTTTGTATTATTTATCCCCCCCTACATTATGTATTTATATGAGGAACAAAAAAGGAAAAAATGTACTTTTTTAGTATTTACTTGTTATAAAGGATGTTGTGTTCCCTGTCATGTAAAACCAGCTATTTTAGTTTTTACTGTATTCTAGAAAAGAGCTGTAGATTTATGTTAAACTCGTACTTATGAGCAATTGTAATTAGTTCTAAAAGGCATGAACTCAGCTCCTAATGGTCACTGTATAGTCCTGAATTTGTAGACTTAGAGTTAATTCTCTCTTGGAACTTTCTTTGTTCTTCTGTAGTTACTTTTCCCCCGCTTAGTTAAAAGGGTTGTCTGTCAAAACAATTCTTGAATAAACTTTCTGTTATCAATTTTATCTTGTCCTGGTGGTCTGATTCAGATTGCAGAGAAAAGGCTCCAACTGCCAAGTGTCCCCTAAGAGGAGGGCATTGAAGACACTTTTCTGGCCTTTTTGTCTACTGCTCAGGCCCCTGTCTTCCTCCCCAGCGTTTCTTCCTGGTTTAAACTCGGGTTTTGACATTCTTAACAGTCTAGACCATTCTGCCGAGTGCTGCAGCTAAGGTTTAAGTAACAAGTTGGGGAAGGGACGGGAATCTTGGTCTGTCTGTTTAGTCTCTTTGCCTCCGGTTTCCCTCAGTCCTTGGCCTTCCTTCTCTCTTTGACCAGCACCTCTATGCATCCCTCTGGCCACGTCAAATCAAATCAAAATCTAGCTTATTACTGCTTCTTCCAGGCAACCTAAACTTCACGGTTCTCTTCCGGAGCTACAAGGAGGCTGTCACGTGACCCGAAGCCCAACCACCATTGGGTCTAAAATGAAAACAAAGGAAAATGATTAATCTGGGGGAAAAAAAAACAACAACAAACCCAGGCCTAGACTTCTCAGGTCAAGCCTTAGAACTGAAGTGAAATTAAATCATTTGATGAAGCCCAGGGCAAAGGCAGGGGAGGCCGGTTTGATTTCTCCTGCCCGGGAAAGGGAGAAGAAGGAAGCCAGGAAAGCTGCTGAAACCAAGCGTAAATAAAATGGTCCCCAGGCTAATGCGAGGCTCTGTTTCCACGATCCTCGGGAAAACTTCATTTCTTAGTCCTGGTTCCATAAAAGTTTTATCACAGTGGAGCGAGGGTAGAGAGGGTCTGTCAAAGATGAAATGTCACCACCACCGCATCGCGGTATCCGATGAGAGCGGAGGAGACAGGGAGGCTGAAATATGGAGCTAATTCGTTCAAACGGCAGCGATGGCTGCTTGCTGAAGAGTTACATAATTCTAATTGTAAGCGTTGCGCCCGCATTGCTTAATTAGGAGCATATATTTGGTGGTAGTGGTGATATGGGGGGTGGGGTGGGGGTGAGAATCGTTCCAGGCCCCCAGCCTTAAAGCGAGGGCTGATTTTCATTTTTATGTTGCATCCTGGCAGTCCAAGGTTAGTAATTACAGTCTTTATGCAACAATAAATAACAATAAAAAAACAACCTGAGTAATACACCCCCTCCCCACCATGTAGGATTTTTTTTTAAACTGGACTTGGCTCATCCAGGCAGCAAGCAATTTAGCATTGGGTCAGGCTATGCATTAAGAGCAGAGGAGCGTGCAAAGCTTGATTGGGATCAAATAACGCTCAAGGGTCTGTCTTTCCTTTCCTTTTCTCTTCCCTGAGTAACTTTTCCTGAATGATAGGCCTACATGAAGGGTCATGTTTGGCTCTGCGGATGGAGGGAGAGGTGGGTTGCTTATTTACCTAGCTGGAGAGGAACAGGGTAAGAGAGACTTTAGCTAGATCGACCAAAAGCAGTGCTTTGGCTTGAAGCTAGGGTTATAAACAAAAATAGAACCTACCCTTCTGTCTTCAAGACTCCAGGTACTCAGCTAAAGCTGTTAAAAAACATGGCTAAAAATCTATGCTGTAAGGTTCCTAGCGGACAGGGAGCAGGAGGGATGTCTCTGGGAAGGAGGGTTCCCTCCCCCACCCCCTTTTAACACCCAAGTTTTCTGCTGTTCACTAATCTGCCCATAAAATCTGTCATCAAGGGTTAGAGAGCTGTATTTCCTACACGGGACAGTCTGGGCCCTGATTGCCTTAGAAGAACCCTGGATACTGCAGCCAGCTGGTTTGTTAGGAAACTTGTAGAGGTGTCCAAGGGCACAGCCAGGGAGAAGGCCCCTCACAGGCCCCACTGTGCAACTTGCAGGCAGCTACTATTTGGATTCTCCCCTGCTAACCACCACCCAAATGGAATATATATTGCATATAATATATATTATATACATCCACATTTTTTTTAAAGCTGAGTTACACACCACCCTCTCTGGCCCTCTGGCCCAGTTAAGAGCAGTTCCCCAAGAGCCTGCCTCTTTCTGTCCTTGCAGCCGCCAGATCCGGGTCCCCCACCCCCACCTTCTAGTCAGACTTCTCTGCCTTTTTATTTTCTTTCCTTTTTTTTTTTTTTTCCTTTCTATAAATACTCACCACCACCCACGCGGACGTTACATTGACAGAAAGTTTCTAGTTCCAGCTCTCCGCTGACTTGCCATTTCTCTGCTAACCAGCCTTCTCCTCCAGGCTGGGCGGCAGGGAGCGAAGAGGGGGAGGGGAGGCCATAGCCGTGGGAGTTCTCCGGGGCAAACTTTCCACCCAAGTTAGCGCCTTCCCTCTGTCTCCATTTCCCATCTGTTTCCTGGCCCTCCCAGAATCACCTTTCTCTTCTGCTACCCCCTCCCTCAGGCCTTTTTAAGGGATGTGGAATTTAGGCTGTTCCCTCTGCTTTCCCAAAGAGCCAAATTCTTTGATGCAATCGGAGGGAGCTGTCAGGGGGCTAAGATTGATCGCCTCATCTCCTCTTGGTCTCTCTGACCCACTTATTTAAAAATCTTCCCCCAGATCGACTTTTCGTTTTCAGCTCTGAGGCCTAGTTTCCCACCAAATTGCTTGTGGCTCTGAGTTTTGTGTCTCCTCCCTTTAGTAAATTACAACATTGTAAAGTGGAGCCTATCATTGTCCCCTCACAATAGAATACATTATTTTCCCCCCTCTGGGGGCCATAAACCGAATATAATCCCAGTGGTGGTCTTTATTTCTTCTCCCTCCATCTTTAGGGATTTTTTTTTAAAAACCAGGGATTTAAAAAAATTGCACAAAGGCAAGTATGACAGAGAAAGTCCCTTTGTCCTGAGGGAAAGTGCCCTCCCTCATACATTAACTTTAGCTTTGAAACTTTTGTGGATGGCTACCTTGGTGCCCTGGGTATAGACACGGACACAACCTGAGGGCTATGGATGCATCTGCCATCTTAGACTTTCTTGGACCCTCCTACTGAACAGTGCTGGGGTGTCACAGAGTATGAGTATAGATGATCCCAACAGGAAGAAGGCCAGTAGACATAAAGTATTGCCTGTGAATACTGGGCAGAGGACAGAATCCAGCGCACATGGCTGGGAAGGAGACCAGTGTCCCCAAGTGCTCCTGGCACCTCGCTGCTTTGTGCCAGCTTGTGCATTGCTTAAGTTTGAACTGCTGCTTCCAGAGGCTGCTGCTGGTGGTGGTCAGAGCTCCGTCCATCAATCTCCGTTCTGATTTTTCACCTTAATACTGACCTTTCCCCAAAGAGTGGAAGCCTCTTTTTACCCCTACTTCCTCCCAAATGGGCTTTTGCTCTTTGGAGGGTGGTTGGAAGGGGGAGGGGATACTACTGATGGCCACATAAAGAAAGCATATTCGTTGACCCAATTAAAATCTTTAGACAAGAAGACCATTTCTCCCTTAAATTTGGTTGTTTCTACAGGCTCCCACCACCACACAGTCTCTGAAGGGGAGGAAGC